CTTAAATTCCCAGAATCCCCCAGCCAGCATGGCTGGCTGGGGAATTCTGGGAGTTGAAGCCCACACAGCTTAAAATGGCCAAGGTTGAGAAACACTGGTGTAATCCAAAACAACAATAATCCAGTGATTAGTTCTTTCACAGATTCTTTAAATTCCTCTGCCAGAAAAGGCAGGGTTGGAGTGGGGATGACCGCCTTGAGAGTCAGGCAGTCAGCCTTTGAAGAAAAACCCACTTCTGTGTGGGTGCTCAATGATAGTGCAGCCTGGAGAGTCAAGGATCCTCTCAGCCATGCTTTCTTAGTTTAACTCTTGGCTTAGGTGCCTAAGAGTTAATAAAAATAGTACAAAAAAAAATTATCCTGCCAAGAGATTGACCCAACTCTGCTCCAATTTTAATACCTTGGTTTCAGGGAGAAAAATTGCCTTTCAGATGGAAGATGAATTGTTACTTCAAGAAAGCATGCTGCAGAAATGCAAAGAAGAATTAAAATGTTTGTTTTTTAAATAAATGCCAGCTGTATGGGAGACAAGTAAAGTTTATACGAGAGGAATCTTAATAAGTCTTACAGCACACCAGAAAAGATAATAGAATAGACAGAAATCACAAGTAGAAGAGAAAATAAAGAAATTTATTTTCTGTTCTGATTCATAAAACTAATCCAGACTGACAAGCACTGAAAGAGTTAAATAATTAAACAGCAATTACATTTATTGGAAGTGGCAAAACTCCAAAAGAAGATAAAATATGTCACACCAAATCATTTTGAAAGTCCAAACAAACCAAGGAAACTTGTGGCACATCAAATTAGAAAGAAAGGTGATAACAGCAATAGAGAAAGAGAACAAACTGATATATACAAGATGAGAAATAATAGAAGAACTTGCCATTTTTTTAAAGGAATTACAGGTAGTCCTCGCTTAACAACCCTAATTGGGACCGGAATTTCCATCGCTAAGCAAAGTAGTCATTAGGCGAAACGTCATGTGACTACACCGCTTAGCCACAGCAGTTCCAGTAGTCCTGGTTGTAGTCATTAGGCCAGGACCATACCATTGTTAGGTGAGGACCTCAAGCTTCTCCTGCCCTGTGTGAACTGCCAACTCTGTCCCATTGCTTCCTCCCCAGCCATGCCCAGCTAGCTCCCTTTGGCAGACAAGGCTCTGTCCCCCTGCTCTGCTTGCCTCTGTTTCAACTCCCCCCACCTGCCTATCTCTCTCCCCATCTGCCTTTTTGGCTGCCCCACACTCCATTACCACTGCCTACCCCTGCCCCCCCAGCTGACCTTCACCATCTTCTTCTGCTGAGGCAGCTGCTGGCCTTTCTCAATGCCTCTGCTGTGGTCATAAATGTGGGCAGGCTGCCAAGCACCCGAATTTGATCATGTGACCATGGGGGGGGGTGCTGCAATGGCCATAACTTTGAGGACTGGTCATAACTACGATTCATGCACCAGCTGGGTTCTTCTTTTGTGTCAGCGCCAGCCGGGTCCTTTTTTCACATGCCAGCTGGGCCCTTCTTTCTCAAAGAAGGCCCTGGCTGGTGTGCAAAAGGAGGCCCCAGCCAGTATGTGAAAGAAGGCCATTGCGAAAGAAGGCCCCAGCCTTCAGATGAAAGAAGGACCCAGCTGTTGTGCAAAAGAAGGTTAGCACGAAAGAAGGCCCCAGCCGATAGTGGCATGTGGTGCATGGCACACACCCACCCACCCATTGCTGGGTGCCCGCCAGCCTGCAGTATGCTTCCATGGTGCCTCCCCCACATGTGGCCAGAATGGTGAGCCCAATGGAGGGCAGGCAGGCAAAGATGACGAAGAACAGCTGGGAGCAGTGGCAGTGGCGGCAGAGGGCATGGTCATAAATGTGGGCCGGGCCCAAATTTTGTTCACATGACCATGGGGATGCTGCAATGGCTGGAACTTCAAGGACCAGTTGTAAGTCCATTCATTCAGTGCCATTGTAACTTCCAATTGTCACTGAACAAATGGACATTAAGTGAGGACTATCTGTATTGAAAACTCAGAGTCTAAAGAATTTACTGAAGAACACAGGCAAATATTAAGCAGATTTATAACAACTCAAGAGATCACAGAAGCAGTAAAGAAAATATAAAATGGTAAGGCACCAGGCACAGATGGACTGACAATGAATGAAATTCAAAGAATAAAATGAATCCTGGAGAAAAATTAAAGCCCTGGGTGGCAAACATACAGTATATCAATGGCAATCAGCAAAGATTACAATGAAAGGAACACTTTGCAAGTTTTTCATCTAGCAAAGTCACAAGGCAAGAGTGTCCACTCTTCCCTATACTATTTGCAATTGCTTCTGAAGTGTGGGCCCACAAGATCCAAAAAGAATAACAGATAATCGGGATCAAAATTCAAGGGAAGGAATACAAGCTGAAATGTTATGCAGATTCTGTAGTACCAACAATTGTGAAACCACAAAGCTCTATATGACAATCGATGAAAATAATCAAAGGTTTTGGTTGTTTTCTGGATATAAAATCAGTGAAAGGAAACAAAGATAGTAACTAGGCATTTAACTTCTGAGGAAGAAAATTTTATGAAAAGGAGATTGGCTGTGGGATAACAAAAGATACAATAAAATATTTAGGATTTACTTGACAGGATGCAAGAAAGATATATTTCAAAACAAT